CCTCATTAAATGTCTGAAAATACACCTACAAGCCACTTGTGTGTTCTTCTGTGCCAACTCTGTAGCACAAATTTATTTCTTAAATACTGATTTCATTTTATTGGTAACTTATTCTTATTCTACTTCTTATTCTACTTGTTTTTATTCTGTTGTTTTAATTAGAAATGTTAAAAAGCTTATAAAATATATATTTTTAATTTGACATAAAAGATGACATACTTTTAATAAAGTTAGAAAAATGCCATTACAACGGTAAAAACAAAATTCCTTGTAAATCACTTTAAGGAGTCAAATATCACTTCGTAATGGGAAGGTTAATTTTTAATCAGAATTTTTGATTACTGATTAGAAGGTGCTCCTAAATTTTTTTAATTTAAAGCGCTCCTAAAAAGAAAAGTAAGCGTAGAGCCCTGATTATACATTTAAAAATAAGAAATAGAATAGAATTAGAAATGTATGGACTATATTAATATATTTTTTTAATACTGTATAGTAATAATAATAGGAGTATATATTGCATATAAATATAAAAGAAAAAATATATTGAGTCACATTTACAGGCCTGTAAAAAGACACACTTTTGAAATTCCTTGATATTTCTAGGTTTTTCAGGACCATGGAAACTTTAAACACTTATTTTAATTTTTGTAAATCTACCCATGAAAAACAATATATTTTATATATTTTAACTGTCATTTAAAGCAGACGCTAATTACTGTATTTGCTGCAGCTCAAAACTTCTCACATCACATTCCAAGACCTCTCTTCCCTCAGCTTCGACCTCACCATTACAGAAACAACAGCACTGGAATGCCAGTAATGCCGGGCCACACACTGGGCCAGCTAACACCCAGACATTAGACACCTGTTCTACCACTGCTGTTTAGATGACCTCCTCCACAAACACACACAGACAGAGAAAGAGAGAGACAGCAGTTACCAGACTAATGAAACTTGCTAGTTGCTACTACCAAGACTTCTGCCAGCAACACTTACTGCATCAATATGCAGTCCTTCCTCTGCTTCTCATCTTTTATTTTGCACAGAGTAGGTTGCCTGACAACCTCACTGAATTAGTTAGTGCTGTTGTTGATGCTCTGCCTCTAAAAGCTGAGGAGCCACATGGTTACATCAAACCGTGTATGAGGGTGTATCATGTTCAAGCCTTATTTTGATAGGAAATGTCTTCCTCATTCCCTCAATACTCTTTGCCGTTTCTGTGTAGTTGTGAAATTTACTAGGAATTTCTGAGTGAAAATTGTTTCAGCTCTTTGGCAAACACATAATGTTACTGATAGCATTAGCAAAACATCTTTTTTTAGGGGAAGTTGTGGCCTAATGGTTAGAGAGTCGGACTCATAACCCACAATCGGATTCCTATCGGAATGGTTATGTACGTTACATTTATAAATTGACCATTAAGTACATCATGCAAAAAAAACACAAATCCAATCTGCTGTTCCTGTGTCTATCATAAAGCCAGACAAGGCAGCAAAATTTTCTGTTGATTAGTTTCTTCTGCTTGAATGTGGATTGCAGGTAGGCCTGGGCGATAAAACGGTATCGATATTTATCGACGGTACACCTTCTTCGGTAACGATATAAAACATGTTCGATATAGTGCACGATATTGTTTTGGTCATAATTGTTTATGCAATTTACAAAATTATATTTTATTTACACGAGTTAATGTAGACGTAATGCACGTTTTTTATAGACTTATTTCCGTGTTTACAATTTAAATGTGCTGCATTATTTTGCTCATTGCGCCCTCCTGTGGCCTCAGGAGACAAGACAAAAGTTTCCATAAAACCTATTTAATCTGCATATAAAACATTAGAAATTAGATATGTTTAATTTTTATTTTAAAAAAGGTTATAAAAAATGTCAATAATTATCGATACCGAACAATATGAAACATTATATCGTTGATACATTTTTTAGCTATATCGCCCAGCCCTAATTGCAGGTATATTAAATTTCCGTATGATAACATAGTTATGTTTGAGAGAACTAAAGTTTATCTAACCTAAACAGCCAGATGCACTTACACTTGGCTGAGTGTAATCATGGCACGTAAACTTGGCATCTTGTATGAATCTCAAACCACCACCTGATGTTTTCTATGCTCAAATGCATCTTGGAGGGCATTTAAACATGGTCATGATAGCTATACAATCAGTAAAAATGCATTATGCCAAGTGTAAATATTTCCTGAGTCTATGTTTGTATTAAAAGCCATGTGATCACAGTTTGATGATCACAGTAAGACCAGTTCATGTGTTTACAAGACACAAGCTTTGTTTTAGACCCATAAACAGGTGATGAACTGAAATGATCCATTCACATCACCTCAGTTTAACCCACCAGAAATTTCTTCTCCATTTCAAGTGGGTGTGTTCAGTATTTCATATTTCACTAATCCCGCAGGACCTCCAAAGAATACATTCCCATCCAAAGGGATAGGGAATTCTCTGCATTCTAAACTCAGAAAAGAGATATGCTAACTGATCTCGAAGGACTTTAGTTAAAGTCACATAACGCATTGTCTTCTCTCTCTTGTTTAATTACTTGCACTTTAAAAGGTTACAGCCGTCAAAAGAGGGAATGATCAGGACATGGATTGTAACATCAGCCTGTCAACTGACACTGCAAGACAATGAGTGAGTGAGCGTGTGTAAAGAGGTCAAGAAGTGGGGAGTCAGAGAGAGTGCAGACAGGGCACTTCTGAGCAGCGATATCTGACACAGCAGATCGCAATTCTCAAAACAAACCACTGTCTCCAGCGTTTGCCACAGGGCAGTAAGACTGCGAAAACTCTCAGCATCTATTTGAACAAATGTCAGAGTGTGTTCATTGTCATTTCATTACTTGAATACTTTATGTGACTACTTCACATTTGCTCTGGGTCAGAGAATAAACTATCACACTGCTTTTTCTGCTTTTACATTTCAATGGGCTGTTGCTAAGGAAGATCCCAGAGGGCTGAACCTACGGAAGCCTCAAGGCCAAATTATGAAAACATGCAATGAAATGCATAATAAAGTTTATTCTGGTTTGCACCATTTCTGTTTTGCCAAGAGGCCTTATCAACTAATGTTGAGAAACGTTACAGACTACAGCATGTCCAATACTAACCATATGCACATGATCAGGAATTGCAAAACATACAATCTAGACTATAACATTTATTCTTATTTGAGTATAAAAAAATATTTTTATTACACAGGAATATGGTAATATATGATATGCAAGATAAATATCTAAAAATAAAAAAGAAAGACATTTAAATAAAATAAATAAAAACATGTAATTTAACTAACATTATTTAATGGTGTTATTTTATTGCGAAACAACAAAGCGATAATATATATATATATATATAAACGTGCGTGTTTGGTGTTTATGTAAATAAATTAGAGAGGGAGAATGAAATTTATGAACATTTACAAAAAAATCATTAAATAAATACATATGCACATTTATAAAAAGAAAAACTATGACACAATGGATTCAAGTATTTAAAGTAACAACTTATGTTACATAATAGTTTATCTAACATACCTAATTTGTCTCGCAACAAAAAAGACACAGGACGTACTGTAGTTCTAGCAGACAGTGCTAGACCAGCACATGGCTTCACTACGGCCAACCCAAAAGCATCAGCACTAGGTGAAATTATATAAACGATCTGATACACATTCACTTTATTATACTTAATTGAGCATGTCAAGCCAACCCTAACAGTTGAGCACTTACGATGACTGATGAATTTGCCCTGTTGCTCAAGGCGAACCCACCCGTTGATGTCAGTGTGTAGCTCCGCGTCAACACTCTCTGCTGAAATAAAGCCGATCGCTTCCATGCCTCAAGGATAGTAGGCTCGTTTCATTGTTTTGTTTGTCCAGTTTAGCTCAACGATCTGGTGCACTTGACCCGGAGAGCTCGCGCTGTCAAGTGCACCCGACCGTCGGCTCGAGCAAAACAGGACACACAAAAAACAATGAAAGAAGTCAATACTCGAGTTTTCAAAAGAACTTCTTTTGACACTCCCGTCAAAGACTAAACATTTAAGATTGTTTTGTCACGTTTATGTATAAACAACGCGGTAAATGTTTTGCTTGCGGTCCCTGAAGATAAATAAGTTGTTATTACTCACTCGGGCTGTGTGTATTTTGTTCGGGAAGTCCAGTAAGACGCCTTGGGCTTCTTGGGCAGTCACTTCGAGAAAAAAAAGTTGCCTCTACTTTGCTTTCAAAAGGCACAAATGAAGAATTTTTAGTAAAATATCCCAGGCTTTGAGTAGGTCTTCACGTTCAAACTGTTTTTCATTGTTGTACAATCTGCGTTCAATGAGGCAGGCGAGCGGAAGTAATCCGTTTCTTGATTGGACAGTTAACTAAAGAAGGGCGGGATCAAAGTGTAATCCTAAAATATGATTGGCGGTCACATAATCAATCATATGCCACACCTGCCCTTATTCTACGAAATTATGCTGTATTATAAGAGGTCTACAGGGAGATAATAAATCATAATGACACTTTTCATTGTTGTTGTGAATAAAATGTTATTTTCTAAGGGATCATTTCCAGGAATGAACGAATCGTTCCTTTCTAAGAGTTCAGACGACAGAACACCTGTCTTTCCTGTTCAAGAGCACATGACCGCCAGGTTTATTCTATTTGAATATCTTGCCTATATCTACCTCTAGTAACTTGACTTGATCCGCCTCGACACGCTAGTCCTTGCTGTCTCACTCATTGTATTTCTTCTGTGAGGAAATTTATGTCGCAGACTGGTTTGACAAGTTTGAAATCGAACAATGCCTCATGGCTGCAAATGTTCAGTTTATCTGTTCAGAACAAAGAACTATTGAAATTTTATAGGCAATGGTAAGTAAGAAAGAAAGAAAGAAGGAATTGTTTGCCACTTGAAAACAAGAGCCAGAGCTGCTCTTCATTCTGACATGCGTACAGGGCCCAACACTCAAACATAGGCTAATACACAATGTCGATTTGAGTATTACTTGATACTCAATACTCAATGACTTGAGTAATTAGAAAACAATGTAACACCATTACATTAAGAACTATTACTACAGCACCCCCTCGTGGTCGACATATAAGATTGAAAACACTTGCACTAAGAACTGCACGATATTTTTTGACAGTGAAGTTTGGTGAGTGGTCATTTATACTTGTCCTTCATAATATAATTCAGGTTCAACCATGGAATTATATTGAAATCAAATTAAAACAAATAATAATATAACAGCACATCCACTTGCAATTTACAATACCAATCATCACTGGCCTTGGTTATAAGCACAAGAAGCAAAGGCTTAGTTAAAATGGTTTTAATGGTGTAAACAGTGCAGTTTAGCATGATTGATTCTTATATGTGCTGAGAATCACTCATAGGAATGTCTTATTTAGACCAACAAAAGTATTAGTGTAAAAACACATGATTAAAAAAAAAACATTTACCCAACCATTAGGCCATCCAAAATGTAAATTATGTTTCTTCATCAAAAGAGATTTTGTGAAATGTAGCATTGCATCAATTTTTTACCAATGGATCCACTGAAATGAAATGGGTGCTGTCAGATTGAGAGTCCAAACAGCTGATAAAAGCAACAGTAATCCACAAGTATTCCACACAACTCCAGTCCATCAATGTCTTGTGAAGTGAAAATCTGTGTGTATTTAATAAACAAATCCATTATTAAGACATTTTTTACTTCAAACTGTTGCTTCCAGCTAAAATATGTGTCCTCTATTCACAATATTTCTTTCTTTGGTGAAAAAAAGTCTCATGTGAATCAAGAGAGAACTATGCACAGATCAAGCACCATTTACAAGCAAAAACAGTCCAAGACATTTCTTAACAAATATGTCAGTGGATTTTAATGTGAGAGGAAAACAAGGGATATTATTATGTTATTATATTATAATGGATTATGGGCATTTATTTAGGACAGAAGTGATGGTTTAAACCTAAAACTTTAATGACGGATTTGTTTCTTGAAAAAACATGCAGCTTTTCATTTCATTTTTCATCTGATGGACTGCAGTGGTGTGGATTACTTGTGGATTATTATGATGTTTCTATCAACTGTTTGAACTCTCATTCTGACGGCACCCATTCACTGCAGTGTATCACTGGTGAACAAGTGATGTAATGCTAAATTTCTCAAAATCTGTTCGGATGTTGGATGGCCTGAGGGCAAGTACATTTTCAGCAAATACAATTTTTTTTTACACTGTTATTTTTGTTGGTCCAAATAAAACATATATGAGTGATTCTCAGCACATATAGCAAAACCCTCTGAAGAATCAATCATACTAAACTGCTCCAAACTGCAGGGGTTCATTTTCATCCTCGCATCTGATTAAGTCTCATAAAATGTTGAATATTAAATCAAAGTTCAGTTTGCATGACTTTTCCATGACTCTTCTAATCTGAAGCCTTTGTAGGCTATATAGTTCTTTCAGCAGATCTTTCAGCAAATTTTCATTTGTGGGTGAACTATTCAATGGGTGAACAATTCTATTCTAAAATATCACCAATAAACCTTTGATTAAAGATCAAAGGTTTATTAGTGATATTTTAGAATAGCCTATTATAGCGTGACTTGCTGCACTATTGCACAGGTAAATGAGAGAACTGATTCTGTAAAATGTAAAAAAGGCACCAACTGTGCTTTATCCATAGGATAAAGGGCACAGACAATTAGTGTGCTGATGCACCTGCTTCCATTGTTAGAATAAACCATGTGCCTTCAACAAGCAAACTAACGCTGATATAGAAAGCTAAGAGGTAAAAGGATCTTTCAGAGCGTTAACAGAGTCCAAAAACCTTGTGGATATTTCTTGTATAATTTATAGCTTTATTTAATACATTTGCAATAATTGTCATGATGAAATCATAATTTTTCTAAAATCTTATCATCTAATCATAAGTAGAGTGCATTATATCTTATGTCAAATTAAAACTTAAATGGGATTTTTCTTCCCAGTCCTCTCTACAATGTTAAAATGAGTGGAAAGTGAAATAAATAACTGAAATGCAGTTATTAAATTAAATTCATTAGCAAAGTATCTAATGTGTCCATTCCATTGCAAAAAAAAAAAAAAAACACTTCGGTTTTGTCATATGGGGAGAACTACGAAAGACCAACATTATGTCATAATCATGTACCCATGCAACCATGACACAAAGCCTGAAAGCTTATTCTGGAAGATCTCAAAGTAAAGATCTTTGGCCTTTAAAAGCACAGAACAATAGGACAATGACCCAAAGCACAAGCAAAGGCTTTGGTTTAACGTCTTAGGGGGCTTAAAAGAATTAACATTGATGAAAAATTATTGATTTGACTGTACTTACATAATCATATGAGAACAAAACAATTGAACTGAGCTGGATAATTATTGATTTGACTGTACTGACATTATCATATGAGAGCAAAACAATTGAACTGAGCTGCCTATAAGTCATTTCATAATTGACCAACTTTGCAACACTGACACATTGAACTGAACTGAATCATCATCAATAATTACATTATTGTCTTCTGTCGGGCTGCTTTATAGCTGAATTGAGTTTGTTTTGATATTGATATTGATATTGATATTGATATAGACATCAACACTTTCATTGAACTAAATTGAATCAACATTGAACTGACCTGAGATGAATAATGATACCATTGTCCTCTCTTGAGCTGCTTTATAGCTGAATTGAACGTTTCAACTAAATTGAAATTGAATGAACAATGAAATACATTGAGCTGATTAATGCCAATTATATTCTGTAGAACAGCTTTCAAGCTGAAATTGAAGCAATTTCATATTTGATAAATTTTTGCTTGCATTTTCAGTTTTAGTTTCCTGTTTACCTCTGTGAAGCTGCTTTGAATATATATTGAATATAAAGCGCTATACAAATAATTGTGAGTTGACAGGGTTTGAAATCTGGAATAACTCAGATTTTAATGCAACTGAAAGTATGTCTGACCTGCACACAAATTGCTGTCCACCCACACTCTCCATCACATTTGGCAGAGCTGGCACAGAATTTGCATGGAAAACCAAACAAAAATCCAGTCTAAATGTGGAAAGACTCAGGACATAAACAAAAATGTTTTTAACCAGTGAACAAAACATGGGATTTGTGCCATGAATGCTTTTTTTTAACAAAACATTTTCAGTAGGCCAATGTATCAACCAAAGAGAAGGCTCTGTTTTTCTGAAGGTTCCACTTGTTTCAGTGAGTCATACTGCATCAGGACCTGTCTGCACTTATCTCAGTGAGGCACATGCACTGGCTCAACATGTCCAGTAGATGTCAGTATTGGGCTTAAATTCCAGCGACTGAAACACAGTATTTCTCAACAGCTGGAGTAAACCGCGAAATGAGAAACGTAAATCAGACTTTTCTGTGAGTACGTCAAGCGCAATGTATTTTTACTCGAAAAAGAAAAAACTGCGAAGATTCAAACCGATCTCTACTTCATGCACTACTTCAGATCAATTCGAACAGTGGCCGAAATGACCCGACAGTAGCCGAGTCGAGCCGAAGCGATCGCCGGAATAACCCGGATTGGGGTGTGCGAGGAAGGCTGAGCTTCGCTGTTCTGTAGATAGGGGCAGAGTTTTGGTGTATGTGTGAGTGGGAGATGGACCGAGGGCGCTCTACTGACTAGAGCAGAGGCGAAGAGCGAGTCCAATAGCCAGAGATATTGAAATAATATACGCGATCGGGTCGTCGATAGCCCACTCCAAATACAAACTAAGTCGCCCATCTTTCACATCTACTTCACACACACTAACACGGCATTGATGGTAATGTATGCAAGGAAACAACCAAGACTCGGCGATGGGTAAAGAGCTCTATTTTATACTTCGATTTTCCTTCTCCGCTTTGACAATCCGCCATTTTTAACCAAACCAAAATAAGTAGAAACTTAAGGAAGCCGATTCAGCTGTTGCAATTTCTGCCACTATCAGTGAAGATGGTTTTAAACTGTTCCTCTGTCTCTTTTTCTTGTTTTATTTTGTAGGTGCACCGACCGAAGGGATTCTCAGCCCTATCAGGTAGATCTGAAACAAATAAGATTAAAATGGGGTAAATCTAGCGCAGGCTTTCGAAGCAATTTAGGCCTCTGTGCGTAAAACACAGCGAAAAGTGCCTCATTATCACCAGGTTCGGCTTAAAACGAAACCCATATTTACATTACACTGCAAACATAAATTTGTGCTGTCGTAAGTCGCCTGCCCGTCGAATTTATCATGTTTTAAATGCGCTCACAGCGCTAGCGACTTTAACAGGCGTTAAACGTTAGCCCGCTAGCGGCTACATCAGGCCTGTGTGCCACAGCGATTTACTTCGAAATGACTATCATAATAACGTTTATAATTATTAATTCATGGTCTAAATTATGCTACTTTCAAGAAACGGTTATATACGTAAATGCGAATTTAGTGGTACGAGGTTTTTTATAAACAGTCGTCTTTAGTTTCTAGTGAGTGCAACCAAATCCCAATAAAACGAGCCTAATTATCTAGACCGTCAAGAAATGCTTATTTATATGTAAGACTTGGAGAATAATGCTTATAGGCTTTCCTGTGCTCAGGTTAGGCTTGCAGTGACATGCAAAGTATGTAATGACAAACGTCGTGCTGAAAGTATTGTCGTGTTTTGGAACATGTTAGATGATTGTTAGCTGGTCAATAGCTGGTATACCATCTTAGACCAGCAAAAAATTAGCTGGCCAGGTAGCTAATGACCATTGTAGACCAGCTTTAAACCAGCTCTCATGTACATTGCATGTGAGAGAGAGTAATTGTGCAGCAGAGTTCAATGTAGGAATGTCATGTTTTGACAGACTCTTAAGTACTCATCCAAGAGTCACCCTGATCACCGACATGAGAAGATGCGTGACAGTAACGACGCCACTCCACCGTGCAAGATGCTGCGGCGATCAGACAGTCCAGAAAACAAACACATGGATAGCACCGGCCATGGCAGAGCAAAAGCCATCCATCCACACCGGGGGAGAGACAGAGAAGGAGGTAAGAGGGGAGACCTGGAGTCAAACTGATCATATGATAACAGCCACAAATCTGAGGCTGATACTGATGCCTAGATCGATAACGCAAATCTTACCACGGTCTTAATTAGTCCTTAATTGTTTCTATGTAAACACTAGTTAGATACATTCTGTAGAAAGTGATCAGATTGCGGTCTTTTGGGTAAAGAGATATTAAATGAAATCACACTTCCGGTAGTGGCACCAGCTTCAACCGTTTACAAGCACCCTCTAATCCAACCTTATGAATGATGCCATTTCAGACAGGAAAATATAAGGCTTGGTCTGTGAGCACAGTGTGCTTTAATCTCTCTTCATGTTCAGGTTCTATACATTTTATTCTTATCAGATTTGGTACAAGCAATAATTTTTTTTTTCAGTGTTCAACAAGGGACTTATTTTTCATTCCACATCTGAAGACTGTTTTATAGTTCAGAAATGATAAGCAGGCTTGAAAGACCACACATGTCTGAAATCAGAAATTGTGTTAGATCGAGAATTATTTTCATATCATTAAAATATTATGTTGTCCTGCAGATTTCTTTTTGCCTCTTTAGCAAGATCTGTCGGATGTTATTTGTATTGGCAACATTCTAAGGTAATATTTTTTCAGTTTTGCTAGAATGATTTTGTTCGGTTTGTTAAACATTTACTAGACATATGTATGATCCTTAAGATAGTTAACCAAAAAATGAAAATTCTGATTTACTCATCCTGCAGTTGGGCCGAACCTGTATTATTTTTTTGCAGAGCACAAAATATGATATTTTGAATAATGTTGGGAACTAAATAATTTTGGTGACCATTTAAAAAAAAAAAGGAAAAAAAAAAAAGAGGCATTTTTCAAAGTATCTTTGTTCCACAGAAGAAAAAGTCCATACAGGTTTTGCATGACATGAAGATGAGTAAATGATGACAGAATTATCATTTTTGGGTTCTTTATCCATTTAAAACTCAAGCTTAGAATCTCTGAACACTTTATAGGCCATGCTTGTAAGATTGATTTGCAGTAAGATTAGCTGATAAAATTTACCCACACTACTACATATTTTTACCATCTGTTGAGATAGGCATCATAAAACTAATGTACAAGAATTGCCAGAACAAGCCTAAGTCTTATCTTATGTCTCGTTTAAGTCTGTGCCATGAATGTCACCAAATGTACCCTTAAAAATCTGCTGTTTGCTGTATGAAAAAAAAAAAAGCCCTATTCCAAACTCATGATTTTGGATGATCGAATGTTGCAATGTCAGGTTGGCAAATACAGGTTTAGTTGAGTTTCGCTGTCATCATCAGTTTTTTTTTTTAAACAATATTTCATGCCATGCTCATGATATAGAATTTTATATTTCTTTTGCTTCTTCAAAAGTTAATATTGTTGACTTCTTAACACTGCAAGTCACTGATTGAATTAAGGCAAATTCACACCAAGAAAGATAACTAGAGCCGCGTTTCCTCTGCAAGAACTTTCCCCAGGAACTTGGGACTTTGGGCCGGTACTCGGTGTGTTTCCACCGCAGGAACCAGGATCTAAATAAAGTTCTGGGTAAAAAATTGCCCCTCAGAAAGTCCCTGCTCCCTGCTACCGGTAGTACTTTTTCAAAGGTCCGGAACTTTCGGGGGCGTGAGCGCAGAACATGCTGATTGGTTGAGTTCACGCAGCATTGTATTTCAATCACCATTTGCATATATATATATATATATATTTTAAAAAATATTACCATTATTGTGTCAAGAAATGTAGTTTTAAAAGTATTTCAGGCGAGAATGTAGTTGTTTAAAACTCAAATCTGCGGTTTGTTTATAAAAACGGCGCCTATTTGAAAATGTGTTTCGCCGATTTCGGAGACGGGAGCTCCACGCGATCAGCAGGCGCTCAGTGCTCATGTTTCCCGACGAGAGCAGCCTCAACTCGACTAGTCCTTCTGACATTTGCCGCTGGCTCGGATGTCTCTGTAGTGGATAAACATAAGATATAATTTGTTTTGGGTAAATCTTAACAGGTAATCTTTGGTCTTTATTCTATTAACCTATTAATATGTTCAAATGAAAATAGGCAATGTTTGATATAATATTTCATTTCATTGTAATGTAGGCCATGTACGTTCCCTGAACATTTCTGCGGCTATTAATATGTTTAAATGAAAACGAAAAGGGGCAGTGACGTTTGATATATTTCGTCTTATTCAAAATACAGTGAGGAAAATTGCAGTAGCCAAGGTGAGCTGACTGATGTTATCAAGTACGCTGCTGTTTGCAGAATTACCAGATTTGCGTTGTCCCATCCGCGGGAGTTCACACTCTTGTTTTTGCTACTCTTATTTAGATAAGTAGATAATGAGATTGCTACCAAATAAATGCATCATCTAACTGAACAGTGACGGCAGCATACATTGAAATGAATCAGACAGTTGTGGAAGCTGTGCACTGCCTCACATCTCGCTTAACTAGGGACTCTAGCCTGTTTAAAATTTAGATGTTGGACAAGGCAAGTTGCATTAGTTAGGAGAAAGTTATCAAAAAGACTTCTTCAAAAGCAATGAATCTACTTAAATTGTTGCCTGGCTCTGTGCCATTATTGAATGTTGTTTTTAGTGCTACAGCTTATGAATCTCGGTGGTGTAAAAGCTTTGCATCTATCATTCATATTTACCAGATCTGTTATATAGGTCACGTCTTGCATCTTGTTAAAGAGCCATTTAAGTGGTTAAAAAGGATAACCATTATATAGATATAAGCTGACAGCTAAATTAATCAGTTTGGTGTTATATATGCATTTGCAATAAACATAAATGCTGAAAGCAGCTGAGCCATGTCTCCAACTTGAATATATTGTGCTTTCGATTCAATTCGGCTCTCGATTCAATGAAATATCAATTCTTTTGGATTTTTCTTAAGGAAAATCTCTCTCAACTCTCTCAAAAAATACTGTAAACTACACAGGGAACCTTCTCAATTGGTGTGTTACTATAATATTAAAAGTTAAAATCGTCAACAGAGCCCAAATTATTACATCCAATTGCTATGTATTTTATGTGTAACATTCAACACTCAAATAAAAACATTGTATACAAACATTTAAATTGCACATATGGCAGTTTTCATATCACCTTTCTTATAAAATAATAATGTTTCTACTCCAATGTGTTGTTGAAATATAATTTAAACAGTAGCTGTCATAAATAGTTCTCTTGACAGATTTAATCACACATACATTATACATCAATCATCACCAACAGACAAGAATGAATTAATGTAAAATATAGTATATACATTTAATTAAATGTTTCTTCTTTTTCTAGCTAACGAGGTATGGACATTGAATTACTTTCTTGATGTAAATGGAGCGTTACGTGACTTGTTCACAAGCTGTTTTGTTCATCTTTTTGTGGTTGTAACACCGTGATATGAGAAATGATGCATTTCAAAGCGTTCCCTATCTTTCAGTATACCTTCTCTCATGTGACAAAGTCAAAATCATTGTTGAAATTTATTTTTTGAATTTGGTTATAAAATTGACAGAATTTGAAAGATGAGTGTGTTTATCAAAAGTAACATCACAGAGCTTGTTGCAATTATTGTATGGGAGGTGCTCGACAAATAATGTTTAGTGTTTTACTCACACGACAACTGAAAATGGTGTAAGTTGACTGATCTTGGGATTTACAAATTGATATTGGTTAGATTAAAATCCAGCCCAGCGGATGGAATGGTGTTTTAGGTGAATATGAAAAGAAATCGCTTAATTGAATACATCATTACATTCTGATGAATTTGATCAAAACCAGAATGAAGCAAAATGATGAATTTTCTTAAACTTTTGTCATATACCAAAAGCAATTGCAAATGAGGTTTTCTGGTTCCTCCGTAAAGGCTAATGTAAATTGTAGCTAGTTCAAACTTGTTCTACCACTCCAAAGTTTCGTTTTTGAGTGTGTGCATGTCAAATAGCTCCTCACACTTTTTTCCTTCTTTCTGGATGAAAAGGAAAGCAGTGGTTCAAGATGTATTTCATATTCACAGGAAGTATGGATGGGACTAGGATATATCAAAGGCCTCTACCCCCACCATTTTCCTTAATAGAGGAAAAAGATTTGCTACATGCTGATCAGCTGCAAGTAGGGCTGGACAATAATTCAATATCAATATGTATCGCGATATAATTTTTTTTCAATAACGGTGATATGATTTTTAAACACATTTCCGATATTTCGATATACATTACCAGTGTTTCCCATACATTGATTTATTTGTGTCGTTTGACTCGGAGCACTTTTCATACCCATTTTTCTGGCTGAAGCAAAGAAATATACCGTGATATCAATTTTGGCCATATCGTCCAGCCCTAGCTGCAAGTGCTATTTAGGGGAAGGGACGATCTCTTTATAAAAAGGATTTGATTGGACAAAAAATCTGCATAGTGAATCATCAATATTTTTGTCTTGTGTTCCCGGGTCAGAGAGACTGCACTTTTTGTGCATATCTTCAAAAGGTGTTCTTTGTCCATGTTAAGGAGTGCATCTAGATGATTTTGAATCTCTTAAAATGTTTACTGAGACATAGTATGTCAGTTGAGTTTCCACGCTCATAGTGACTTTATACTCTTGTTCACTGAACACATCAAACACATCTTCTCCGAGGCAGTGAGGACTATCTGTAGCCTAAGGGCTGTCTGCAGTCTGAGCACACAGCTAAAAATGCCCCTGTGAGGGTTTGTGGTTTAGCATGGGGTAATTGCAGGTCACTTAGGCCTTGTTGTGTGACTTTCTTGATTTTTCTTGTACATTGAACATTGCATTTTTTCCACCTGAAGTGATTATAGTTAATTACCTATGAAACGTTATCTGAAATTTGTTGTTAGTGTACTGTAATAGATCACAGAAGACATATTACTCCTACAGTAATCAGGAAGCCAGCGGTCTGTGGGTCTCACCTAAATGCTACAGTGTTAGAATAGTCTGATTCTCATTGAACTGGTCTTCAATTAAAGCCTAGTATGTGTTTGTTTGCCATGAGTAATCTTTTGTGGGTAGTTAACTGATTTATGAGTGTGCCGGATGTATCGTTAGGAGTGTGAGTCTGGTGTATTATAAAATCATTATGCTGTTTTTCATCTCTTCCCAGCTCTGCTGATTATTAGGTTTGTCAAAATGAGTAATATCACTGAACACTTGTAATTCGTCTGAAAACACTGCTATTTCACTGTTTTTTAACTTCAGATTGTGGTAAGACCTTTTATTTTGCGTTCTTCTGGGTGCATTATAAAGAACTGACTGCTGGATATTTAAACAGTGCTTTAACACTCATTTAATTATAACATTCTTTCAAGTCAGTGCTAGAAATCATTTGACTTTTTTTTTCATCTTCACTTCACAATATGTCTGTCATTTACGTTCTCCATCTCTTCTTTATTGAAACAATGCAATACAAACACTTGTAAGATGAGTCTTTGAGAGCTTGTATTATCTGTGTAATCGAGTTGGTGCAGGTCAAACCGAAATCACTCTAATGAATCAAAGTAAGCCAGGAACTGATAGAAAGGCACAGAAGTGTTCATGTCTCGGCATCATACAGCAAGAAAAAGCTCAAGTGCTATAAGCATCATTGATATACATGCTTTATGATTTTGCAGGAAGTGGAAACGGCAGTGAATTATGGGATTATTGTCTATGAAGTTTTATAGTTACGCAGAACAGTGGAATGTACTAGTAGAGTTGTTTTGATCAACCAGATGTGGTAGTAACTCTTTTAGACGTGCAGATTGTCCTCCGCTTATTTTAAGAAATAATGAAAACTGGTTTGTTCACATTCAATGCATTTATTTTTCAGGGACCAGTATATCCCCTCAAGAGAACTCCCATAACCACAGCTCTCTGCACAGCTCCAACTCTCATTCAAATCCCAACAAATCATCAGACACGGTAAGTACCACAGTCTCAATGTCCTCTAACTTGTCTGCATTTTCAAATGAGGCAGCAATCAGCACACACACAACAAGGCCGCGTTCATATACACCAGTAACCCTTTGCCCCTTTGGCACGAACAGGCTGCTATTTAATGAATAAATCAGACCATTTTAAGAGACCCTAATAGCTATTTGTGCTATTAGTTTTGCATAAATCATTCTGAATAACTGTCTTACTGGAAGTAGCAATTAAGATGCATTAATTTAATACCAATGCAGTCAAAATAGAAAACATTTATCCTGGCAGATCTGCTAAAATATTTCAGACTTCTAATAAGTGGCATGCTATTTTATGGGCCATTATTTGGATCTAACAAAATTATCCCTGGCTGAAATTCGGCATTGCTGTTAAATGTGTTGTTTGGTTGTGTGGCAACCCTCCTGTGTGCAGACCATGTGTCCCCTTGCTGTAGATAATATGAGCTCTTGAGGGAGATGCAAGGCACAGCGTACCTTTACCAGAATAGAGAAAGGAGTTTTTGTGCTTTTGCTGCCTTCAAAATTACATCATTTATTTAAGGTTTTGAAACGTTGACATCACCTGGTTTGGTTTCAGTACAATTGTGATTTTAAAAATAATTACAGCATTGCAAATCATTTAAAACAAGGTATTTTGCTTATCAGTGAAACCAAATTGGATTGAATTCAGTGTCTAAAGTCTAAAAACAGACTGCCAAGCCATAGTCATATTGAGGGGTCATTTTGTGAAGCATGTTGAAAAGTAGCTCATTTCAACATACTTGATGAATGGATCTATTATGTGTTCCAGCTGTCTTTATGAATCCAAGATCATTTTGGTGAGGCAGCATAACATTTAAATCTTATAGTATTGAAATGGCGTAGAAACTAGTGGTCGACCGATATGTGTTTTTTGACAGCCGATGCCGATATCTTGGAAAGCAGGGTGGCCGATATAATCTTATTTATTTTAATTATTTATTATTAAGAAATTTGATATCATTTGAAAATGGGTTAAAAAATAAATGTTAAATAAACGTACTTATACTTTAGATGACAAAGTATTTTTCACAAATAAATATTTAATAAAAAATATAATAAAAAAGGAAGTAAACACTGTAACCAACAGGGCACTCAGTATTCTGGGAAGTTTGTGTGCATTGGGAATCATACTTCTTCAAATAAAGCCAAGGTAACACTCATTTTACAGCACACAGTGGAAATGACATGAACATGACAGTGGGCAAATGCATAAAGCGCAGCATAATCTGAAATCACGAGTTTAAAATTTGTCGATCGTGCGTCTCCAGTAAAGCTGAACTCTCCTCCTGTCTGCATTCAATTCACACGGACCGACCGTCACACAGAGTACACGCAATCATGCAGGATTCACATGCACACTTCACACGATCTCACAGCTGTATTTGACCAAGTTTGCAAGGTTTGTGAAATTAAATGTTCATTAGTCATTCAAAGATTTGTTTAAATGATATAAATGCGTATTTGCTGAATGCTGATGGCAAACAAGAAAGTGTTATACTGTTTGCCTTTCTATTACTAATAATATAAAAGCAATCGTTATGATAATTTTTGTATACATTTTAATTCCTTTGTTTAACCGTTCTATCGGATTATTAGACAGACTTCTATCCGTATTAGACAGAACTGTTAACGACGACAGCGAACAAAAGGGAGAATGTGAGCACTGTCAAAATAAAAGTCCTGCATCGTATCGGCCAATGCCGATATTTAAAAAATGCCAAATATCGGCCGATATATCGGCCTTGCCGATATATATATGCCTAAATATAAATAAAATAAGTTAACAAAAATTTACAAAAAAATAACCATTTATTTTACATTACAACTGTAAAATCCATAAATACTATTTTTGTGATATCTTAATGACCACTAATAGAAACCAAATTTGATCACTGTCCTTGTGCCTCTGTTGGTTTAAAGGAGACATATTATGCCCCTTTTTACAATGTGTAATATAAGTCTCTGGTGTCCCCAGAATGTGTCTGTGAAGTTTCAGCTCAAAATACTCCACAGATCATTTATAATATAATTTTGAAAATGCCTATTTTGAGTGGAAGCAGAAACACGCTGTTTTATTAGACAGACTTCTATCCGTATTAGACAGAACTGTTAACGACGACAGCGAACAAAAGGGAGAATGTGAGCACTGTCAAAATAAAAGTCCTGCATCGTATCGGCCAATGCCGATATTTAAAAAATGCCAAATATCGGCCGATATATCGGCCTTGCCGATATATATATGCCTAAATATAAATAAAATAAGTTAACAAAAATTTACAAAAAAATAACCATTTATTTTACATTACAACTGTAAAATCCATAAATACTATTTTTGTGATATCTTAATGACCACTAATAGAAACCAAATTTGATCACTGTCCTTGTGCCTCTGTTGGTTTAAAGGAGACATATTATGCCCCTTTTTACAATGTGTAATATAAGTCTCTGGTGTCCCCAGAATGTGTCTGTGAAGTTTCAGCTCAAAATACTCCACAGATCATTTATAATATCATTTTGAAAATGGCTATTTTGAGTGGAAGCAACCTGGAAAAGTCAGATTTTCATGATATGTCACCTTTAAATTGGTCTTTCATTCTATATGTTTTGGGGTCACTTTGGATATGCTGTCTAAAATCTTTTCCACACTCTGAAGATGGTGAGATGCTCCACCTACTTCATGAAGTCATTCATGAAACCCTCTTTGTCTGCTCTATTACCTTTTCCAAGATTTTATGTTTTGTATTAAACCTTATAATTATGTTGAAGGCAAGAACTAGCTGTCGACAGGCATACAGAGGTGAATTCCTTCATGGTTTGAAATATGTACTACTAAATTGTGGTTTCTTTCAAGGACAGAGTTTAGTGTGCAATGAAGTGAGCAGTGTTAATCATAGTTCTGCAGTGAACATCATTGTATTCTAAGAGTCACATTTGAGAGATACACTACCATTCAAAAGCCTGTGCTCAGTAGGGCTGGGTATCGATTCAGATGTCCCGATTCGATTCTCAAGCTCTCGATTCGATTCTCTATTTTTTGATTACATTCCGTGAACATAGTTTTAATACAAATGCTATTGATATTTCTAAAAAATGAACAGTAAACATCAGTTTACAAATGGTGAATTAATAAAAAGAAATTAAGCCACATGCCTGTATTTTAAACCTATACTTTTTTTGTATGGGTCCTTTTTTAAACAATAATAGGGCCCTATAAAATGTTCTTAATTTTTCTGGTAATCAGATGAAGGCATAAAACATTAATTTAATTTATCCCAGAACGTTAAACTAACTTTTAGTTTGACGGGTTGCCGTGAAGAACTTCCAGATGCTGTGTATGTGATATGACGGTAGATTTCTCAAATGAAATGGTAAAATGCTAATGAAGTAACTCTCAGAGCAGCTGGAGATGACATTCGTTTTTTTTAAGGGGTTTTGTGACATTGTCTTTACTGATACTTTTCAATTTAATGCATCCTTGCTGAATGAAAGTACTAATTTCTAAAAAATAATAACAATAAATCAATAAATCTTATTTACCCCAAAATTGAGTGGTAGTCTATATAATATAGGTCCACATTTTTCTTTAAAGCTAAAGTATTTAATTTATTAATTAATTTGTTTCTTTTTATTGTTAAAATGCTTTCTTCTATCCCAGGATACTGCGCAGATAGACATTATTACAGCATTTGTAGGTAGATTCCACCACATTCTGGCACAGGACCCTGATAAATGCATTGCTAGCAAAAATTCAGACTACGTGTCTTATTTTGAATGACCATCAAAGGGAGAGAGATTTTGACTCAAGGGAGGAGTTAACTAGGCCATGCTAACCATTCATACTGTGACCCCTTGGTTGATGAAGGAAGCGTTCAAGAAACTTTTCATTATTTTTGCAATGCTGGATTGTGACGCTAGTGGCACAGAAATTGCACACTTCAGCTTTAATGATCGGTACTGTCTGGTGTAGTGGTGTGAGGCTTTGACAGTCAGACTGCTAGTAGGTGGAGGGTGGACTCAGACAGATTAAAGAGGCATCCTGCAGGGGCGATGCGCAGAGATCCACCTCATCAAATATTACACACGCTTGCATCAGGATTCAGCTCTCTCTCTCCCTTGCATGCTCCATCAATCTGTCTCTAATGTTCTCATTTTCTCTCTTTTCTTCCCAGTCTTGTTCTATATTTTAAACGTTCTCATGCGTTTGCTCTGTTTAGTTTTTTTTTTTTATATCATAAGAAAAACAACAAACCTGGATTGTCTTCCTTTTCAGGTCTTTCCTTTTGTTGTTGCCATACATCTCTCCTTTTTATCTTCATTCCTTTACCTCTCCCTCTCTCATGCCTTTAACAGCTCCTGTCTCTTTAAATGCCAGCGGTTCTAGTGCTCACACCTGTTGTTTTCCTTCTATTCAGCCATATGAGCCGGCAGATGATTGGTCTGAACACATCAGTTCTTCAGGGAAGAAGTACTACTACAACTGCAGGACGGAGGTGTCTCAGTGGGAGAAACCCAAAGAGTGGCTGGAGAGGTATTAAACGCACACTTTCAACCCTTGGCTCAGGCTCAAATAGTACTTAATTATACACTAATAATACACTAATACATGTTGCTGGTGAGACATCACGTGATCAATGCAGGTGGAACGTTTAAGCTAGTATGTTTCCGCAGAAGAAGTATTCCCAGAAATCATGGAAAAATCTTTTTAGCATCTCCTTGCTTTCAGCAGATATTAGGGATGCACCGATACCACTTTTTCCAGTACTCGCCCGATACCGATACTTTTATTTTTGGTACTTGCCGATACCGAGTACCGATACCGATATTTTTATTGCATTTGTAAATTGTTTAAATATTGGGTACAGAAACCAAAAGGGTATGTATAATGTTAGTTGGTTAACTTCATTTATCAAATCCTAAGGTTGAAAATAAATGATGTTTATTGTCAATGCCCTTCTGAATGTTTTTATTTTTACTATTTCGTTTTAATCCAAATGATGCGTGTGCTAAGTGAGTGAACATCAAAGATCACACAACAGAATTGCGCGCGTGCTCTCTCTCTCCCTACCGTTAAGTAACTTGTGCATTGTTTTACTTACTTGTTTTTGACATATCCGACCGAACTACAAACTTTCCAGTGATGTCTGTGAGAAAGATATATTCACTCGACAAGCTCGCGCATCTGCGCCGCCTCGCGCTCAATCCACTCAGCGTGCTTTGTTTATCAGCTCGCGCACACCAGCTATACAGGCGTTAATACTGAATGTTTAACATTATATTCATTGCATACATATACTTCGTAGTAGACATCCTTAACTCCTTTCTGCTGTCTGTTGTTGGTGTTTCTTTGTTTGAATATGGCGCTTAACACATGCTGTGTGGTATCGGCGTTTGGTATCGGGGCATTTTAACGAGTACGAGTACAGGAGACCAGTATCGGGGTGCATCCCTAGCAGAAATTGAGTATTTTGCAGTCATAGGCCTGTTTCCCACGTCTTGCTTCTGCAGCACATCAGCTAAGCAGCAGTGTAATGGAAACTGGATCACTCGTTGAGCTTTCACACTAATAGCGAGTGAGCTTTTGACAAAGACCATTTATGATCTTCATTAATAAGCGATGCTTCATAAAACAAAAGCTTGTAGAGCAAAAGTTATTAAACTGGTTTGTAGGGCATTTTGACTATATTTGAGAATGCAGCAAAGGATATATTCAGGGCTGTATAGAACCATCCTTTTTGGGGAAAATTTCTCATTTCAATTTTTTCTAATAAAGATTACGAATAAAAATGTATTTTTTTTAAAGCTCTAGGTTTGCTGTGCTTGTTTGATGGGCTGCACAATTTGACCAAAACATTTGAATTATATAACAATGACTATAAAATAATAATGACAACTATTATTAGGACTAAGTATTTTTAAATAAAAATATTAAACAGAATAAAAAAATACTATTGTAATATTTCACTGTGAAATAAGTTAACAAAAATTTACAAAAAAAAAAAACCCATTTATTTTACATTACAACTGTAAAATCCATAAATACTATTTTTTGTGATATCTTAATTTCTTTATGTTTAAACATTAAACCATCAAACTTTTATTTTGGAGGAAAACCGAAACAAGCCCTTGAAAAACTTAGTTTCTCTTTTGTTGACCGTAGCCGGTTTATTCATAAGTGCTTCTCATTACAGTTTTGGAAGATCATGTTGCATTCCCATGTGTATGTTAAGTGACCTTAAACTCACCGAACATGCAGTGAAGAGTTCGTCTGGAGCAGCATTTACTGCAGACCAAGCTGTAATGCATTACACTTTGAATACATATGTAATGAAATATAGCAGTCTTTGTGATTTGTTAATCACACTGTCGTATCACGATTTTGTGCACATATGCTGGAACCATAACATGTGCGCTGAAATTAAAATGTGCTACAAATGCAAATTGAAATGGGCCTAATTCCACTTATCAAGTGACTTGCAGAAAGTTGAGACATAGCAGCTAGTCTCATTGTGAGGCTTTTTTCCTGCTGTGCCGGTCGTGTGTAAAGCTGATGTGGTTTTGTTGCCTTTTGAATGCCAGTATCATTTGTGAACTCACTGTTTCAGAGAGCAAAGGCAGAAGGAGGCAACCAAGATGGCTGCAGTTGTCAACAGTTTCCCTAAAGACAGGGACTACAGGCGTGAAGCCATGCAGGCTACGCCCACCAGCTTCTCCAGCACTAGTAAGTATCAAAGTCTGAAAACCCACATTATTTAGCTCTGGAAAGTGGCAGTAAAGATTAAAGGGATAGTTCACCCAAAAATGAAAATTCTGTCATTAGTTTCTCACCCTCTTGTCAATCCAAACCTGTAAGACCTTCATGCATCTTCGGAACACAAATGTAAGATATTTTTGATGAGGCTACTACACACACTAGATTAACTATGACCGAGCGAAACTTTATTTCCTCCAGAGAAATGCCTGAAGTCAATAGTGTCGGAGCATTTTGGGTACACCAAGAATGACCGGGGCATTATTTAAATATTGCCGTAAAAAATTGCTGCTAAAAGAGACATAAATAGATACATAAGAGATACACAGCTAGCTGTGCATTAAACTATTTTAATTAATTACAACATTTAGCTACTTGAATTAATTATTCGATAGAGAGCTGACAGTTGTGTGTGAATTGTCTGTCTCTCTACAAACAAAGCTGTGATTTTAGTTACTTCAAACACAGAGATTTTACCCCCTCATTGCTGATGAATATAATGTAGCGATCCAGTATCTAAGCTATTTTATTAATAAAAGTCGTGGGGCAGCGCTGACAACACGTTTCTGTAGCTTAGCTCCTGTGTGCGCAGCACGAACCGATGTCACGAACCAAAATAATAGACATGCTTTTCTCAGGCCACATGTAAAATCAGATGAATTATTAAAAATATTATTAAAATGAATATGTATGGATGACAGTTGATTACAATGATAGTTCAGTTAATCCCTCTTGTTAGTAACAGTTTCCCCTTGGGAATAAATAAAGTTAATGGCCTATTAGTCTTAATATATTAATATTAATAATACTTTATTAGCATTATTATTTATGATCCCTGTTGTAGTATTATAAGTCAGAAACCAACAAGATTTTTTCCACCATGTTTCCAAGTTCTGTACCTCAGGTCCAAAAGAAATGAATGCACAAACTGAAAACACTAAATACTTTTGTGATCTATTTCCATTTGTTATATTTTAAAAGGGAAACACTGACATGGATGTTTACAGACCAGAGGTCACCTTTTTTTAATTCCAATGGGAGAGATGGACTTTTGTTTGCCTTTATTATTATTTTGTGCTGTATTATTTGGTATGTTAATTCTGCTTCAAAAGGCAGCAATAAATAACACTTTAAAATCTAAAGAGTGTTCATGTGATTTTATAGATAGAGAATTCTTCGAGAATACTTTTTGTGCAAAGAAAACAAAAATAACGACTTTATTTAAAAAAAATGTATTGCACAAACAGTATTCTCGTAGCATCATAGCATAACGGTTGAACCACTGATGTCACATGGACTATTTTAACGATGTCCTTACTACCTTTCTGGGCCTTGAACATGTCAGTTGCGTTGCTGTCTATGCAGGGTCAGAAAGTTCTCGGATTTCATCAAAAATATCTTAATTTGTGTTCTGAAGATGAACAAAGGTCTTACGGGTTTGGAACGACATGAGGGTGAGTAATTAATGACCGAATTTTCTTTTTTGGGTGTTTTATCCCTTTAAGTGAGTGCAGATGTAACAAATGGGGCGATTTCAAATCCTGCTCTTTCAGAATGATGGAAAACAAAATTCCTATTTTAAATTGGGATGTTAGCTTTGAGTTATGAAGCTTGCCATATATTTTTTATTGTAGAGTAGCCTCATTTATGTGTAAATATCAAGTCCATTTAGATTTTCCATTTCATGGCCCCTCAACCTTAAAAGTCCGTGTAAAGTCAATATTAAATGTGTGTTCTGAGTTTATCACACCACAGAAAAATGTGTTATTAATCACCCAGCCAAATTTGAATGCTAAAAAAAAACCGCCAAGTGAATAAAATAAGCTATCAAAATCTTGAAAAAATAAGCAGTATTCTCTGCTCTCAGACGCTGGGGTAGTGTCCGCTGGTGGCGCTGAAACCACGCCCACTCGTGGAAAAGCTGCCGTCTCTCTCTCAACTGTCTTCCTCTGCAGCTTATTTAAATGAGGAGACCGAGCAGTTTTGTAAATTATTGCAACCAGGTATTATGCGTTTACGTGACGAAGGCATAGCTAGCTAGCAACCTCTAGGCTGTAGTAACGAACGGCAGTAACTCGCGATTGAGCGAGCAAACCACTGCGCTGTAGTTATTAGGTGTGTTCGACTTGAAGCAGGGCTGTGCAGAACGATCAGTGTATGACACGAGAGCGATTCGAAAGCATGAGCCGTCTGCTCTCTATAGCTCTGTACTTTGATGTCACACACCGATCGATCTGCGCAGTGCTGCTTCAAGTCGAACACATGTCTTATAGTGTTAGGGGAGGGGCCATGCTCGGTGGCTCCATTGCATCATCGAGCCACCGGTTTAGCCCCGCCCAAAAAATCCTGAACACAGAATTAGTGAAAAACGGTTTAACTCCACAATTCAGTACTACATAGTTCAGAGTCTTTGTAATGTGTTTCTGCAATGCATTTCTAACATTTATAATGTGTTTAGAATAGGCATGGGCCGGTATGAGATTCTGACGGTATGATAACCTTAGATAAAAATATCACGGTTTCACGGTATCACGGTATTGCGATTACAGCTCTAAAATGTTATTTTTAAATGTCTGGGTAAAAACTTTTTTTCCCACTGAACACATTTTTGCAGAAACGGTATAACGGAAAATTTTAGTGGTTTTGAAACAGTGACTTTTCCAAACCGCGGTATACCTTGAAACCGGTTATCGTCCCATGCCTAGTTTAGAAACAATTCTCAGAATTCTCTTTAGACGGACTTTAATGACCAGGCTGGTATGCTGTAACATGGACCTCTGCAAGCTGTAGATCCTTAGTTATACTTCAGTTGACCTGTCATAGCTAACCCAACACAGAGAATGTGATTTCCTGGCCTGAAATATTTTAAAAACTAGAGGGCAATCTGTTTTTTAGGTAGACACACAGAGGTAGAGATGAAGCACTGATATTCCGGTAGCAGATGATTCTGGACACATTTGTGGTTTATATTATTGAGAGGAAAAGTACATTGTCACTTGGTTTGTTTCTAAGTGTTTTGCAATTGCAGAGTTATTACTGACATACTGTTTTTTACTGACACAGCCGTTTTTCACAGACGATCACAGATTGGTTTTGTATTTGTAGAATGACAACACTTAGAGCTTTTGCAATATTTTTATGTCTCAAACTTCTGCTTATCCACACCACCCACATAAGCAGTGTTGGGGTCTGTTTGTCCATGCTGGTAGGAGGCAGTAGCAAGTCTTTGCCTTATGCAGCATGACTTGTTAATGCTCTTTAAACACTCCTGTGCTGCATGCTGCTATTTTTCTTCATTTATTTTCCAGTCGTCACAGCAGTTTACTTCTCTTTCAGTAAAGTTTTCAATGCTTGGCTATATCAAAGCAGTCGAAGGATAGCAGATGCTAAGCAGCAGGTTTAAGGCACAGGGCTCCCACTGTAATGGAAAACCTCAGAATATCAGGGAGTTTTTTTCTCCGGGCTTAGAAAATGCCAAGTTCCTTGACTTGAGTCATGGAAATTTCTATAATGAGTAATACACTTTTGTTGGTATGCTCTGTTCTGAAGTGTTTCATCAATTAGACATCACTATTGGGGTAGAGTAAAAATGGCTTCCAAGCCAAAATGTATGATTTTGTGTGACTCGTGGAGTCTTTTTAGCCAAACCAGAACACGAATTGGTGGAAATGATTGATTAGTGAATTGTTTGAATGAATTTGAATGATTTTTAAAAGTCATTATACAATAATCACAAATCACAGGAAAGCAATTAATCTGTCAAAGTGTGGGAACCCTGAAGGCAGTTTCTCTTTTTGTTGGTCTTCTGTCTGGAATTGTAATCATTCAACGTTTAATGCACACAGCATTGTGAATGGGGAAAAGTGCTTTAAGAAGAGGTTGTGTGACAGGAAGTGTAATAGTACTGCTTGTTTTCCTTAAGGAAATATGTTCTGGCCAGACTGAATTGACCAAAAAAAAAAGGCAATGACCAGTATAACTTTATTGAATGCAGATTGATGAATGAATGCTGATATAAAATTTTTTTATGACTATTTATTAACGTAGATGCTTAGGAGCCAATCATTCAGAAGACAGTGTTTGTCAACAAGAACAGTTCTTGTAATTCAATTAGTGTCTCATGTGATGTCAAGGAATTATAGGCTTGTAATAGGGCTGTCAAAAAAATTTCGAATATTCGTCTAATTTAAAATAAAAATCCACATTCTTAGGTGTTTTTAGGTGTGCGTTAAGGAGGCTGCCTTATCAGTGGCGCACGAGATGCGATGACGATGTAAGTGTCATTACATTTTAATGTTTTTGTTAGCCTATCCAGTTGAAGCCACTAGATGCGGCGCTGCTGCGTTGTTGATTACAAGTATTGTGGGAAAAGAGAACATCAATGCGGAGAAGATCTTGTTTAGTTGAAACTGAAACCAAGCCGTTCACACGGAACACATATTTCGCGCATTTATCACCGTTGCATTCGCGTCTCGCACAAGAGAACCGCATGTTTAGAAAGCCATGTAAAATTAATGCAAGTTCAACTTTGAAAAAACATATCTCGAGACTTAATGGCGGGTTTTTTCCCCATCCCACAGCAACTAGTGTTTTTAAACGGAAAATGTACTCTGTGGTATTAAACTATGAATGCATACATGATGCTGTTTTGTTTATAGTTGTTTAAGCAACTTAATTATAATTGGTTTATAAACATTATTTTAAACATTATGCACGTTATGTTATCTTATGCTCGATGCGCCCTCTTGTGGCCTCAGGAGAAAAGCCAAAAGCTTTTCTTTACCCTAACTGAAATTATGCATTTTAAATTTTAATATAATTCGAATTTTGATAATATTTAAGCACAAAATTATGAGAAGATGAATGTCCCTAGTCTCTGTAAAAACTAACAGCCATGTTAAAAAATAGGGAGGTTGTTTCTCTAATTAAAATATTTAAATATGCATTTCACTAGTGTTGGGCGATATGCT